ATAGTTGATACTAAAAGGACACAACTATATTGTCAAATAAACTATATTATAAGATAAATTAATGAGGGTAAAAGAGCAAGCTCAGGATTTCTTGAAAGTAATAGAGATTGTAAAAGGGAAAATCTCAGTTTATCGATTAATTCGAAGGGTCTTCCTCTTTTGGACTAGACTATAATAGCAATCACTGCAGCGGATGTGTAACCACATTTTCTAGCTTTATTCCAAAACTTATGCTTCATGTAGCACTAATGAAAGCCTTTGTTTAATTGGATGAGTATATATACTCCAGTAAAGAACTTCTTTTATATACATATATATGTTGCGAGGGGTTATACGATTATTAAATTAGTTTAGGTATATCTCGTCCCATGCAGGTATACTTATGAGTTTATCTGTTTATGTCTATATGTTTATGCATAATATTGCACTATAGAATAATACTATTCCTGCATTTTATAAGATTTAGTGATTAAATAATGAAATGAGCTGAGTTTAAATGTTTATAGAACAACATAAACCGGTTTTGTTTCAAACTTCATTTTATATTATGGTTACAGGAAAATGGTGGGCATTAATTAATGAAGTAAAAGCTCGAAATTTTCTGACAGAACCAATTATGATAACATTTTATACAGATTAGTGTAATATCATAGAGTGATTAACAGTAGAAGAAGGTAAACTATGATTACAATTACGGCCTGATGCTTAAAGCCTTTCTTCTCTTCTGGATTTGCATGTTTACCTTCTTCTGAATGAGATATACGAACTTATAAGAAAAGGATTAGCAAAGCTTGTTTTCAACATGCTATACCAATTTATTCAAAAATGCCCTCTTTTAAAGAGAATTCTAGCGCAATATCATATTCGTGCAGTCTTGCATATATTTGCTGCACCTGTCGCCCCAATTGCAAAAGTATGGAGGACTGTAAAATTGCCCATAAAATCCCTTGAGTGAAGTGGTCAGAATTGGCTGAGCTCCAAAAAAACTAGACGCAAGAGGTAAGAACCTAAAAACGTCATTTTACTGTCATGCGAGAAAGAAGCTACACAATCAAGCTCAACAGATTAGGGAATATGCATAATTTGCGGGATGGTGGTATAGAATTACTTAGGAATGTCTAAAGCTCGATTGATCAATTTCACGGTAGACGGAGTGCTGAGTCATCAACAGAGACTAGTCGATTTTATTCATATTTATATTTATTTTTCCAATTATATTCATACTTTATACACATCTAATTCCACAGTCGCGCTTCGACAAATCAAAAAGTGTGTGTGTGCAATCGCAGTAATGAATTTCGCTGAGTTCTAATCGCAAGTTTATTATACATATCCGATTAGAGAATTCAGGCTGTTATAATTAAGCAAAATGGCCAATAGGGTTTTATACTGGCACACAAATTCAGAGACGAAATCACAAAATTCATATGCATGCATGGATAATCATGAAACAACATTAACCAATTGATATCATAGCTCTAAATAATAAATAGTATCTTTCTATAGAGTGTGTAGATAAACCGTTTTATAACTCCGAAATCTCTTTTAGTTTGAAGTCGATATAAGAAGGCTTATTAATTTTAATGATACCTGTAAAGATATAAACCGTTAGAACTAATCACACGTTGGCCGTAAATTAAAGACGATTGCCTAAAGGCGGTTTCAACATCAATAGTTTGTCGATATTTCATTGAAATATTACTTTGTTTTATAGTCGGATTTCCCTATAAAATCCTAAACCACCCAGTTTCGAACACTCGGATTTTCGGAGGGAGCATGTGAATTCATTTATTATTTATATAGGAACTAACTTTAGTACATTTCAAGTCCTTAATTAGGAAGTGGTTTTCACAGTTTTGACTATATTCAAATGTGTAGGTCTTACGACGCCATGTTATCCCACTCAGACTTGTCTCTTAATGAATTATCTCTTCTCGGTTAGAGTTTAGTTTAGACGACTTCCAGGACCGATCCCCTGTGCGCATTCTGTCCACAATTTCTAATTAATTCATACAGCAACTTGGGTCAAAATAAAGGCTTATTTTTTGAGGTGGCAGTGAGGGGCATGGCTAAATCTAAATATAATACCACTCTGAGGCGCACTGAAACCCTTTGATATACCACAGAGTAATATCACTTCGCTAGTATGACCCAATTTCAAATCACGTTAGGGACACTGATAAACGCTTAACTGCATTTTACATTGAATGAGTAGGCCAATTACGAGTTAAGGCAAAGGGAAATTCACCAACATCGAGGGACATGTGATGAGCATTGTAGAAGAATCTCTGCTATCAGTCCTAAACTTACACGAAGCAATCCAGGCAAAAAAATATTTTTATTAATTGTTTAAACTATATCCTGCAATAATTCCAACATATTCAACATGCCTGTTTATATTTGAGAAATATATCTTTTATTCCAGTAAAAAAGCCATTTCAGATATTGTATTAGATCCTTCCAAAATAAAAGCAATAAAATGGTAAATATTTGTACAATAATGAATATCCATAAAGCCTATAAATCTGAAATTAATTGCTCAATTTTGTTGAGGCTAATCAGAAGCAATTCTTTAGGTATAATTATCATCATGCCAATAGTAAAGTAAGAGAAAAAGTCTTGGTTTAGTATATTTTGGCTCCATTTCGTGAAGTATCGATTCTTACTTTGATGGCGTCAATTACAGTACAGACGGAAGCTCAGCACAGTTTAGTCGGGGTCGCAGGACGGTGAGCCGAGGACATCTTTGTACAATACAACAGTCTTCCCTACGCGGCAAACGTCCTTTGGCTTCCGATGATACCGCAGCACGAATTCCTTCTTTCGAAATGAAAATTCATGTCAGAATTCTTCAAACCACTGTTCTTCTTTATAGCATTAAAATTTTCCCATAATGATTTGAGTATACCTTAGGCTTCTATTGAATTTCACGTAGCCTTGTTTCTCAAAAGCTTATCTCATCCAGGCCAGACTAGAGTTTTGACCTCGCCTATGACTCATCAGCTCCCCTAGCAGGACTCGAAACTGGTCCTTCATCACCGAAAACGAAATTGTGTAAATGCATCTCATATAGCTGAAATGTTTCCGTTACGTTGCCTTAAGCCGTTTAGCGTTATAACGATGTTTTGGCTGATTGTCAAGAGAACGGAAATAAAACTAAAGAAAAATTAATAAAAAATTTGCTAGTCTCAGTTGAATAATCATAGAAAATAAGAAAGGTTTAGTAATGTATTTATCGTAAACAATTTTTTATTTATATTCGTTCCTAATAGATAAAGTTTTTTCTTCCAAAATGATTGGTGTTTCGATTTGAACCATTCATAATTTACCAATTGCAGCCAGTAGTTCTGAATACCAGATCTCTCTAAAATGACAAATTAATAGAAACAATGGACGGAAAAAGCAATTTTTCAAAAAAATACTATTAAACTTTATTTCATATTTGAAGTTTCATGGGTTGTCAATAGTATTCAACTTGGATGAGTAATTAAATGATTATGTGCTCAGTATTGGGCTTTGATCCTTCTTCTAAAATAAACGACTTTCGACGATATCGTAATCAAGGTTTTTATCAGTTTTGCTCTCATGTGAGTATAGGTTTGTTTTATGGTCATAAATTACATTTATTTTTATTCCCTTTTCTCTCGAAATAATGGCATAATTTGGTATGTATCGAATAGTTTTAAAATATTCATTGCTTTGCTTTGGCAAAGAGATCAAATAAATTTACATGATCGAGCCGTTTAGCGTTATAACGATGATGGCTGATTGTAAATTGAATTAAAATAAAATTAGAAAAAAATAAATAAATAAATATGCTAGTCTTAGTTGACTAATCATAGAAAATAAGAAAGGATGAGTAATGTATTTATCGTAAGCAATTTGTTAAGGTCATTTATATTCGTTCCTAATAGATAAAGTTTTTTCTTCCTAAACGATTGCTATTTTAATTTGAACCATTCATAACTTACTGAATGCAGCCAGTAGCCCCAAATCCCAGATCTCTCTTGAATAATTAATTGATAGAAACAGAGGACGGAACAGGGAATTTTTCAAAAAATACCATTAAACCTTATTTTATATTTGAAGTTTCATGGGTTGTCAATTTTATTCAACTTGGATGGGTAATTAAAGGATTATGTGCTCAGTATTGGGCTTTAATCCTTCTTCTAAAATTAACGACTTTCGACGATATCCTAATCAAGGCTTTTATCAGTTTTGCTCTCATGCGAGTATCGGCTTGTTTTATGGTCATAAATTACATTTATTTTTATTTCCTTTTCTCTCGAAATAATTGAATAATTTGGCATGTATCGAATAGTTTATAAATATTAATTGCTTTGGTTTGGCAAAGAGATCAAATAAATTTACATGAACGAGCCGTTTAGCGTTATAACGATGATGGCTGATTGTAAATTGAATTAAAATAAAATTAGAAAAAAATAAATAAATAAATATGCTAGTCTTAGTTGACTAATCATAGAAAATAAGAAAGGATGAGTAATGTATTTATCGTAAGCAATTTGTTAAGGTCATTTATATTCGTTCCTAATAGATGAAGTTTTTTCTTCCAAAATGATTGGTATTTCGATTTGAACCATTCATAATTTACCAATTGCAGCCAGTAGTTCCAAATACCAGATCTCTCTAAAATGACAAATTAATAGAAACAGAGGACGGAAACAGAAATTAAAAAAAACCCATTAAACCTTATTTCATATTTGAAGTTTCATGTGTTGTCAATAATATTCAACTTGGATGGGTAATTAAATGTTTACGTGTTCAGCCTTGGGCTTTGATCCTTCATCTAAAATTAATGACTTTTGACGATATCTTGATCAAGGCTTTTATCAGTTTTGCTCTCATGCGAGTATCGGCTTGCTTTATGGTCATAAATTACAATTATTCTTATTCCCTTTTATCTCTAAATAATGGCATAATTTAGTATGTACTGAATAGTTTATAAATATGCATTGCTTTTGTTTTGGCAAGGAGACCAAATGAATTTGTATGACCGAGCCGACGGTTTGACGGGTGGAAACTTGTCCTTCGGACTTTCCGAGTTTCCCACCCCTCAGGCCCCAGTAAGCCGAGCATCATACGGTGGATGTGAATTCCAACATTCAGGCGGCTACAACGATGAGAAAACTTTAGCTTGCCGAAGCTATTCCAATCCAGGACAGTCGGAACTGACTGAGCCCGGAGCCTCGCTGCTCAATCCCGGGTTGGGCAGATACGCCAGCGTTGCCACACCCGAGCCTGAATGTGGCAAAAGTTTTGTAGACCGGCCTATGAACAGTCGATCCCAG